CGGCCCCCAAAGCCCGCTACCCCTGCTCCGGAGAAATCACCCGTGTACACAGGAGACTGAGGGATCAACGCCCAACCTCCAGTGATCCGAAATAGCTGACCCTTATCTGGCGTGAGCGGCAGGACTATTACGTCTGCCCCAAAAGTGGAACTAGAAATGCGTGCCTGCTGTAGATACTTGCTGCTACGCATGTTGCGCGCACAAACGCGCTTGTTATAACCCGAGGCTCGTTCTCTTTTTCTTTGGTGGAGAGAAGCATGTCCTATCTGCGATCTGCGGGGTGCGCGTGTACCTGTAAGTTCCGGTGTTTTCGGTGTTGACGAACGTCTGCACCTCCACGTCGGCATTGAAGAGGGTGATGTTCACCTGGCGGACACATAGACACCGCAGCGTTCGTACGACAAACCGACGGAATGCGGCCAACAAACCAGCAACACAAACAAAAGACCACGCATCATCGATCAAGAGCTGCTAGGGCTGCTGCCGCGAAACGCGTCTCCGTCCAGCGGCAGCAAAATCAGTAGCACAAGGTGCCTGAATCAACCAATCTCGCTGTTTACAAACCACCTGTCCACGGGAGCACTGTAGCTATACGAGGGGGGTGATTCTGTGCATTTTCTCGCGGCCCCGTCTTCCTGCATGTTGAGAGGCCCATCCGGCTGCCTCACTCTGTACCGCGCTAGCACGTGCCAGTAACGACAAAGATGCATCTGTGGTTGGCAAAGCCAGGTAGTTGGCTATCCAAAGATACCCCCCGGCAGCTGTGTCCTACGCGCGCATACGCTACTCAAAACACGCCTTTTCACGGAGAAGGAGCACCAAGCCTTGACGACCAAGGTATAGAATCGTGGAGAACCACAGGCCGCCATAACATTTACACGAGAACAGAGGAAAAAAACAACGGGGCAAATAATGCAGCCCTTCCCTTTTCACTCACCTGTCCGACATCCAGGTCAGTTATCACGCGCGAGACTGAGTACTCTCCGTAAGAGTCGACGGTTGTTGCGGTCCCCGTCTCGAAAAGGTCGAGGGACCAGGTCACGCTGGCTACGTCCCCAAGCACCAGCACATCACCCTGCCAACACACCAACGTGACACGACCGCAGCAAGGTGGACGTGATTGTGAGCGTTGGAAACATAATTCGTCGGCTAGGACAAACAGCTTTCACCAACAAGAAGAGAGAAACGGAATGGATCGACCCTTCCGAGATGCAAACCGACGCGCACGTTAAGCATGTGCTGGCACGATGTCTTCCCGAACCTTAGCGGGCCGATCTACATCGACATTTACACGTGTCTGTCCACACCATCGAACGCAATACTCGCTGTACGCAAGCGCTTGGAAGCGCATCCTACACACACCCACAGCGGAATATTTCAATAATTCGTATTCACTGGGTACGACAACTTCTAGGCTTGCCATACATACCACGAACGGACATCAAAGCTGGCTTCTTTCTTGCGTGCGGGAAGAGTTGCGTAAAACCCAAACGCATAAGAGGGCTCGAGCGAGCAAAACACACAAGCCGGAAAAGCAACGACTCCGAGATCCACACAGCACACGACAGCAACAGCAGCAGTAGCAGCAGTACCGGCAACAGCACACTGGCAACCAACTGCAGACAAACTCGCCTCGAGGGGTGCCTCGAACACCGCCCCGCCGCCTTCAACACCCGGGCCGGGCACGGTTACCGTGCAATCGAGCTCCAGCCCGCCGGGAAACGTCCTTGGTTCCTCCGTAAGCGCTCTGCCGGGTCTCGGAAGCCCCAGCTGCTGCAGCAGCTCCTCCTGCGCCTCCAGCTTGTGCTCATCACGTTTCCACGCTCCCCTCTGGGTTTCCTCTGCCCCGTCTTCGATCGCGCGGATTCCAGCAGAACCTCTAGGATACGCGTAGCTTCCCTCGCCCACCCAGTAGGAGGATGATAACCCTACGTGTTCTCCGTCAGCCATCTCCCCAAATTGCTGCTGCTGCTGCTGCTGCTTTTGGCCACTGTCTTCTGTCACAGCCTCCTCCGCCGGTATCGCTCCACTCCTCGGAGTGCCCGTTGTCGACACACTGGCGTCGAAAACGCTGTTTCCTCTGGGAGCAACTCCGATTTGCTCCGTTCCGTCGCCCGCACGGCCATCTTCACCGTATCCTACTGCCCACTCCTCCTCCTCCTCCCCCTCCTCTTCCTCTTCCTGCTGTTCTTCGAGCAGCCCCCTTGCCCCTCCTCGTCCGTGTACCCCTTCCACTGCCTTTCCCGTCGTTGCCCTCGTATCCGGCTCAGCTCTACCGCTGATGCCGGGTACACCGCGCGAAAGCACCAGAGGTGGGGGCAGCGGTGGCGGCGGCGGCGGCGGGGGCGAGGCGGAAGGGGAATTGCCGCGCAGTTGTGCCTGTCGCCGATGTTGCTCCCCTTTTCGGCCCTCTTTTCTTCTCCCTTGACCATCATCGATCACCCCACCGTCTGCCCACCCCGCCGCTTCTCCTCGCGCACCCTCCACGATCGACGCTGTCGCCGCCGGGGTGCCCCCGACCTGTTTCGCAAGGTGGGATGCCAGCTCGACCCACCCTGCCACGGCCGCGGTCGCTGTTGCTCTCCTTTGGAACTCGAAAACTTCCAGCCACTCGTTTAGCTCCTCTATGCCGCCAATCCCTCCCGAGCCGCTTACTACACCTGTCCTATACTCTCCTCGAGCCCCGCCCAAACGCACGTCTCTACCGCCGACCTCGCGTCCCTTCTCGGAGAGTGGTGGTGGCGCGGGAGCGGGAAGCAAGCCGTGGTCCGCTCCTCTCTCGCGCAGTTCTCCGCGGGCTAGCGCATCTCGGAGAAATCCCGATTGCCTCGGCCCTTGTGCTTCTCCTCGAATGCTCGACAAGTTCGGGTTTCGTGGCGGGGAAGGGCCTACGGAGCCGGCGGGAGCCACCGGTGGTAGCGTCTCGCTTGAAGCTGCGATTGGGATCGCCGTCACTGCCGAGGAAAACAAAACACGCCCCCCCCCGACAACATACTTTAATTCTAAAACTGCAAGATACGAAGAAGGCGGGGACACGCCAAAAAAAAATCTTTTTTACCCGTGCATAGTACAGCAGTAGTTCGATGTTGATGTATAGGTTGTTCCTTGGAGACACAAGTTGCAACAGGCGGCTTTGTGCTCCCAAAACGTGTGCATTTACGTACCTACCAATGCAGAGGATACTCTTGCCGATACGTGGGAGCAACAATACCAGCTGACCAATACCCTCCCAAACGGCGCTAAATTCATGTTGTTGTTGTTGTTGTTGTTGTTGTTGTTGTCTTCACAATTAAGAACCGTTCCGTTCTCTACATTTCATGGCGACAAGAAATCAAGCTGCGCGGGTCGGCGGACCAGGCCTGTCAACCATTACAAAAAAAACGAGCTATACGTACGATACACGAAGAGTACAGCGGTACCCCAAGCTTCTACCCCCACCAACTCTCTGTCCGCCGTTAAGAGCAGAAATTAGAAATTAGTCCAGGGTCGGGTAATGTTTTTGGTACGGTCACGCTCCGCTCGCATGAAGACACCTTTTTGTAAAAAAGGGCGCACGCTATTAATGAGAGTTCCACCCGGCGGCGAATCAGCGCGGGCGTGTATCTCGCGTTGTATATTCTACGTAACATAACATACAGGGGTCTTCTTGAGAGAAGGTTATGCTGCTGCTGCTGCTGCTGCTGCTGCTTCTCACCCAACAAGCTGCGGCCGACCAGCAGCAGCCGCAGCGTTAGCCAGACCAGCCCTCCCTTTGCTTCCGCCGCCCGCACCATGCCCCTGATTGTTCCAACCCTCGGCACCCGCCGCTTGCCACCGCTCTTATCGAAAGGAAGACCCTGCGCCCTGCTGCCGCTGGATCTGATCCTACAAATACTAGGAAACGTGCTCTTCACGGTGCTGCGGCGTATCCTCCACATCATCGTCGCTGCTGACAAACAGCTACGGTTCCTGTTGGCAGTTGTGTGCGTAGAATGCGAGAGCCTGACCGATCAGGTTCGGTTGGGAGGTACTGAAGGGTCTTCAATGACCAGGAGAGGGGCGGTGGCCACTACTTGCGGCTGCTGCAGAACGCAACACACACACGCACAGACGTGCGCGCGCGCGCGCATCTCCAAGCCCGTGACTATCTTGAGTACCCATGCGCATATGTGCATATGCGTGTGACGGAAGTTTGTTCGACATCGGAAAAGAGCAGTGATTTTTTGTTTTTATTTTGGCGAGACGACGGGGTGCCGAGGAGAGCATGCCGCCGCTCTTCCTCCCAATTTCAAGTTGGCGACGAGAGAGTTGAACATGCAATTGATCCTGCGCCCAGAGAAAATAAGCCGGGAGACGTGCCCAGGACCGGGACAGCTGTAGTGCAGGGACCACGATGTTTCCTATGGATCAATCCCAGCGACACGCACCGCGAGGCACACCGGAGAGGAAATTGGGATTTTTCCATTGACAGGAGTGACACGTTTTACGGCATCAACAACCACAACAAGCCGCGTTATGTCCCACATGTTTGGATGCGATGTGATAACTCTGCCCATCACAAGACATGTACCCGTCAGCAACCAGCCAGAAGCGACCATGTATCACATATACCCACTTAAAACAGCAGTAGCGAGCAGGCAACTGCATTTATCTCGCAGACAACTTCTCCATTGGCAGCAGTCGTACCGACGAAAAACAAGCCGGGGGGGGCGAACAACCGTGTGAGAGTTTTGCAGGTTGTCACAGGGTAAAGAATCTTACCCTTCCGTTGCCTCATGACGCCTGCTCGGCATGATGGGTCGACCTTGGCGCTACTTCTCGTCCCTGCAATGTGGTTCCACCGTCCATGTTGGGTGTGGATAACAGAGATGTGAGCCCAGAGACAAGCAGAAGAGGCAACGCGCAGAGCAGCATCGCGAAATAGAGCGAGAAATGCATGGTAACAGCCTCTGAAACCCTTCCCCCCCAGGGTATTCTTCCGCAGTACCCCCCCGCATCTCCCGTCTTGAGCGACACGAGAGGTGCGGTGTCTCTCCGGTGGTCTATCTCCCGTCTCTTCGTGCCTGAGACATCAAGCAAGAGGGGCAACCGGTCATATTCGTGCCCGCGGGGAAGGTTGATCGTCTAGCACATCGTAGTATGACGAAGGACTCCCCCAAAAAGTCAGGTGTGTTGGGGGAATTGGCAGTGTGTGTACACAGAGAAGGCGAATGAAAACACAACCAACAGCGGCGAACACCTTGGCTGCATTTGGGGCGACATCGAGTGCTTTGTGTACAGGCAACGTGTGTTGGTTTCAACGGAACAATAGGTGTCTAGTATGGGGGACACGTGCGGGCGAGGGGATCAGCCCTTCTACCGCCGGGATAATCTTCTCATGAATGACCTTCCTATTGCTAAGCGGTCATCTCTGTACATCTCCTCCGCCCCCCCATGATAACTCAGTGTATATTGCTTGCCTGGCCTACTCCAGCAGTATCATTATGCATTCTACTAAGTATCCGGCGAGGAGGTGCCGGTGCCCTTTGGATGTCGGTGCCTAAAGCTGCACATACATATTGATTGCACCGGATTCGCTCCGATTCCCATGGGTATATTCAACGCTTTTGCGCTTCCAGCTGCGCTGGAGAGTGACTGACTCCAAACAACAGATTTGACTCCAAACAACAAGGTTGTACTCCGAGTATGCATAGACTTCTTTGTACTCCACATGACCAGTGTACCTGATACTGGTAGATGTGCAACCTGTCCTTTTCACCTTCTTCTTCACCAAATTGAGCGTATCCAGTGGACTGTGCAGCATGTACATGCATGGTACAGGTTACAAGTTATGCAGGGTGAAGAACTCCTCTTTGGCTTCGGAGAATGGAGGAGGAGTGGCGTCGGTTGTTCCAGTACGCTGTAACGGCCGCATTTTTTTTCAACCGCAACTCCAATCGAAAAACTCTTCTTTAGAGATGGATTCATTGGGTCATATTGATGAAATAAACAAAAACCTTGGTACTCAAGTTCGGCTTCACGGTCGACGAGGGAAAGGGATGGCTGAGCGCTTCTCGCGATAATAACTAAGGCAAGCACCGCAGGGGGAAAGGTGGGGCAATACAACAAAAACAAAAAAATGAACAAAACTGCTGTGTGACCTTCCTCTTGTTGTGTGACCCCGGCTGTTACGTCAGGTATAGACTAGGCTATACGGCGAAAGGCCTGTAAGCCGGCGCGAGAATTTGATGGGATCGATGGGATTGATGGGATTGATGGGATTGATGGGACTGATGGGACTGATGGGACGAACACTCACACTGGTGGTGGGAATACTGGCAACGATAGTGTCGGTAGCAAATGCAGGGAAGGCGATGAGACAAGGTCAAACGCACGCGCATCCGAAGTATAGAAGCCACAGCAAAACACGCGCAGTTTCTTTTGTTACTAATATCGCACGGTGTCTGCTCTTTTTCCGGAGAGCAGCGTAGAGTCCCCCATGACACTCGGTCACAGTGTCCCAGATCGTGGACTATGGAAGCACTCTTGTGTTTTCCACCGCAATGAGACTGACGTCTTTTCATTGGTCAACCGGTTAGCGCGGTCAATGCCAATGCAAAAGACACACACTTCATCGATCAACGCTTGGGGTGCTTGGGACGGGTCTTGTTCGTAGTCAACGTACGCTCTTCTTGCTTCATCTTATCAACATCGCGGTAGTGTTCTTCCTTCCCGTTTGCTTGCAGCGGGTAGCTCGACCGCCACGAAGAAGGCGCAGCATGGGCGTGGCAGCGGCGGCACCTCCGTCAAGAGAGAAGTGAAGAGAGAGGTCGACACCAACGTGAAGGTGAGGGACGGGGCCGGCGTCCAGGGAACAAGCGTGGGAGCGAGCACCACAAGTCGTTGCCGAGGTCTCGGCGGGGTCGGCGCAGTCCGGGGCTTGGAGTTATTGCGTTTTCGAGGCGTGTGCGGGGCGTCATTCATGCCTCGCAACGATCTCTGCCTGCCTTCTCGGCTACCTACATTTTGAAGCTGGTGGTCTCAGCGTTGCGTAATGAAGAAATATCCCTCGGAACTTTTTGCACCGAACCATGGACATTGTGTGTGTGCGGGCGGCAGTTGAATAGCGGCAGCGGGCGGCAACACGCGGAAAGTAGGACGGAGGCAGAGAAAGCGACAGCTCCACAAAGCAGTACATACAACGCGTGAGGTATCTGAGCCCAGGTTACGCGAAGATGGACTTGGCGCCTCGACCCCTCGATGCTGCTGTTGGCGGACCTTTGTTTGCTTTCGTTCATGGCCTGAGAGCAAACAAGTTTTTGCTGGCATGTGTGGCATGTGGGCCCACGTGTACTTGACGCATCATTGTTGTTGCGTTTGCGGAAGAGCAACACCCCTCCGCGGCACGCCGCTCCTTTCTTCAGCTTTGAGCGAGGGCTAAAGACATCGGCAAGGACACGGGGCTTTCCTGCAGGAGTCAAGGGAAGCCGAAGATGACCCTCTGACCCACTGCTGTCCTCTCGCGCGCCGCCGCCCGGAAATGATGTAAAGCCTCGTTCTGCGTTCACGTTCAATGAACCTAAACTTTCCACATGTTTCTTGCCAGGTTTCTCATCCCACCCACCCTCTCCACGGTCCGCCAGTCTTGACTCTGTTGAGAGTGAGGCTTGATTGTACGATCTGCTCTGCGCGCCCCCCTCCGCCCGCGTTCCTCTATCGTTACTGCTGACTGCTGCTGCCCTTCTTGCCCCCCCCGCCCCCCCCCCGCGCGCGCGCTTTGTGCCTCGCCGTGTTCCATGCAACGATGCAGAGCGAAAAAGGTGAACGAGAAGAAGCCGTTCTCAAGGAGAAGCGCAAGGCGGGGCAGAAGCTCGCCACGCCTCCTCCGGTGAGGGGAACCCTCGTCGTCTATTTACTAACCACCCTTTTAATCTCCGGTTACGTTTCGCCTCCAGTATTGTTTCGAAATTCCTTTGTAGAGTTTCCACACCGTCCGTAGTCAATGTAGCACACCCAAGTGCTGGTAGGTGCAGGTTTGGTTCTTGTTCGCGTTAAGTCCTATGGAGGGCGGAGGACCGACGACTGTACATTAGTACCACGAACTTTTCAGGTGGTGCGGAGCTACCTGTTTCTCGAGATCCTGTAGTTTTGTAGAGCAGCGAGCTATGCTACGGTACTGGTACTGGTGTCCGTAGAGAGCTTCAGGGATGTGCCCTCTCCGTATGGACGCGCGAATGGACGCTTCGTGCCTCGTGATTATTGTGCTGATGCCTCTTCTCGTCTCTTCTCTTTCTGGTGCTACTGTTGGATTGGGCGTCTTGTGACGTCACCGCGGCGGGCTGGCAGGGTCAGGCGGATCGCTGTTTCTACGAGACGCTGCTGAAACAAAAGCCGGAGAGGTAGGTGGGCATGCATGTTTTGCGTTTGTTTCTTTACATGCCATCGACCGCGCTCACCGGCTGGCTAAATGATGATTCTCTCGTCTTTTTTGAAATATACGCGATTTTTTTTTTCTAGTCCGCGGACTTCCGTGGTGTGTGCAAGTGTGTGTCGTGTTTTGTATGCCTCTCTGTATGTGTGTTCATGGTACTGGATATTTGCCGTCAGCAGCGGGCGTTTGTATTGGATTTGTTGCTTGTGGCGGCAGTGGTTAAACTCAAGCATAATCGTCCCGGGCTGTGAAAACAAGCGCGGGAAAAACGGGCGCTGGGCATCGAACAGCAGCGATGTTGAGTTTCGCGTTGTAACAACCCCCATGGATCAATACTAGCCATTTTTTTTTTTGCTTGTCATATGTCGCCGTTGCTTGTAAATATTTCAACTACCTCACGGTCTTGACTGTCTGGATTGTCTTTCCCTCCCTTGACTGCCCCACTCACCGCCTTCGCCGTTCGCTTCCCGATGCCCGGGTGGGCCGAAAAGCCACATGGCGCAGGACTGGTGTCTGGCGCACGGGGTGTGCGGGGCGGCTGAAGCGGAAGCCCTCTACAAGAGAGTCTGCAAGAGGAAAGGGCTGCAACCGTTAGCCCACGCGCCGTCGTTATCCAATTCCCCCATCAAAAAGGTAATAGCGCGCGCAGACGTTTGGCTGGAGTGACATTAATCGTGTACCCTTGTTTTTGTCGGCAGCAGACTCTGATAATTACCTTATTCATGCGTGGCTCTGACTGGTGCGACAAACAAACCCCAATTGTAGACCGGTGGGTGGAACCAAAGCCCTCACACACGCCTTGATTTCGCCGCTGAAGCTGACATCTGTTCATCGATGAGCCGGCTAGCACGGCCCATGCTATTACACCTCAATACTCAACACACATCCGCTCGAGAGTGCCGGCAGGCACACCGCTTGAGCCTCAGCAACGCGGTAGCTGGAAACAGCATGGGGTTTGGTCCAGCGTTCATGCAATCCTTGATCCAACGGAGGCGTTGTTTTTGGAACAGCAGTAGCGGCGCCGGGTTCGTATGCACATTGGCAGCGAGCGTACACAAGCGTCTGCTATTTCTTCCAGGCCGTACGATATCGAATTTCCGAGGGCGCCTGCGATGCATAACAGGGAGTGTTCGTGAATGCCTTCGCTGTCCCGGCCGTTGAGCTCCAACATTTCCGACGGGGTGTGAACTCGTACTTGGGTGCGGCAACCGGTAGCGGTTTCGTACCGCATGCACGCTTTTCATGTCAATTCGAAAGGTGTAAAACAGGGTACCTCCCATGCCCGTCTCTACCCTTGACCTTTCTTGACGCACACGCGCACGCGCGGATGGGGGTCGTGTTGCTTGGTTCCGCTTCGCAGGCGAAGCGTTCTTCATCGGGGGGTAAGAGCAGGCCGAGGAGCAGCTTGCCGAAAGAGATGGACGCGGATACGGGTGGGTGGTAACCATCCCATTTGGCCATGTGTACAATCGAATGCTGTATGAACCTCTCATTACGTATAGTTTTTCATTTTCAGCAGCCCAACCAGCGAAATAGGCCGTCGCCGCGAGCGGTGCGGCTTTCATGCAGGTGGACGCTAACAGTTGTGTAGTGACCTGTTTCTTGGATGAATGTCGTTCTTCGAAGCATGTCGCCTCGTGAGGGTTTGTGTTGTCTCGGTTGCTTCGGTTGTCTGTGCGTAAGAGAAAGTAGTTTCAAGACACGTAAAGGAAAGCAGCCCATGAATTGCGGTCACTTTTGATGCATTTTTTTCCCTTTGAAGATTCTGGCGCAAAGTCACGTGGCCTTAGACGGGCGTTGGTGGGGCATCATCTTGACGCCCGCAAGTGCCTACCATATGCGTGGAACCTTTTCTTTGGACTGAAAATTTAATCGCCGTGTGCCCTATTGTGTGACTGCGCAGTCCTCCCCCCCCCCACCCCTCCTCCCCCTCTTGTGGCGATGTCCAGGTTTCGAAGCAAGTGGCGTTTTCGAGGGAGTTGGCACGACAGGATTTTAATCGGTCGGGGCTACGCATCTTCTGTAGTTTTTTCCTTTTCCGTGTTCGCGCTTAGGTTTTTATTAATGAATACTTCCAATGTGCGTGCGTGTGCTGTGTGCATTTGCCAGCTGTCTGTACTCGACCACCTGCCGGAAGAACTGCCGCGCTCCACGTGAGGCGTACTGGGTTGGTTGGGTCTTGTGCGTTAGACCCACCGTCTCTGGATGGAGGATGGTGTCAGCAGGACGTACATGTGTTGACGGCCACGGCGCTGTCTCCATTTAGACCTCAAACGACCCCGGCAGGATATATGTTTGGGAGGCATGGCACGGATATTCGAAAGATCAGCCGTACTTCGGAAATTCAGGGCGGTGCGGCGTCGTCCCGGCCGGCGGCCTGGGCGGTAAAGCGGCAGGGCGTCTGGTAGTAACAATAAGAAGAAGCAATGAGAGAGAGAGAGAGAGCAATATTGCAAGACTCCCGGTCTGAAGGGCGACGGTGCACTGCTACCGCTGTTGCTGTTCCAAGATGTTCACGCCGCGAATGCATGCGTCCTTCTCCGGAGAGAACTGTTGACGGCGATTCTGCGCGGAAAAAAATTGCCGGTGACAAGAGAAAACGATTTCCACATCGCCGTATTTGCGTCTAGGCTTTGCTTGTCGCGCGCAACCTTGTTTCCTCCAACGTGCGCATTGGTCAAGAGAGAAATGTTCACGGCGATTCCGCGCCGAAAAAAAAATCGCCGGTGACAGAGAAAATGATGTCCACATCACCACGACGAGGAAGCGATATCCGCGGTGGCGATGAAGTGTGCGCAAGAGCTCAGGGCATGGGCAACCCTTGGCTTCGACCACAACGGAGCCAAAACCCTAATCGCAGGCGAAACCGCGGAGAAAACCTTCCTTGTTCGTAAGACTGCGTTTCTTTTTCACGAATTTACATACACCGGTCGCCCCGGTGGTCTAGTGGGTAGCCTCGTGGCCTGCTAAGGGCCAGGTCATGGGTTCGAGTCCCGACAGAGTGAGTTTTTTCTCGCTAATTAAATCCTGGTCTCCGTTGGAAGCGACGAAGCTCGTTGCTAGTAAACTTGATCGACTTCATAAGTCGCAAGGGAAGGGATTGCTGTACCCTTCTCGCGATAAAAACATCTCAAGCAGGAACCGCAGGAGGGGGTCCAACCCCCCCCTCCTATGTGACCCCGGTTGGGTGGTCTAGCTGGTAGAAGTGGAGGATAGGGGCCAGAATGGCAGACGACAGAATTCAATCATGGGAGAAAAACAAACAAAACAAAACACGCGCCGAAGAGTGCAAACATATTGCAGAGGTGCCCCCAACTTCTATCCCCACTGCTCCCTTCCCTTCGCTTCCTGACCAATCTTAACACCAAGCTTAACTGCGACAGCGTAGCGTATAGTACAGTGAATGGCGTCTAGTTTCACGGTCGCGCCACGAAATTACCTCGCCCAAAAATCACGACTTCCTGGTCGTCCATGACGCCGGAGCAGAGATACAAATCACGTGCTGTTTTCCTGTGTGTTTTCAAAAAATTAAAAACATGCCTCATCACTCAATCAAACTTTGTTACAAGTCGACCCAAAACGCCAAAACTTGCTCGGCTCGGAGCGTTCGATCATGAAAAGAGGAACAAGTAGGAAACCTCAGCTAGATACCGTTCATCACTCAAACGGACACTCCTGTTGTGCTGTGGGGAACAACAACCCCGCCGCTCACGTCTCCTTCCGCAGCCGGGCACATCGCTTTGCCGCCCTCCCCCCCCGGCGGCTGCGACGACGGGAGAACACCGATCGCAGCCGCAGCGCCCCCTCCTTCCACCCCCCCTCCCATTGCCCCCCCGTGAACAGGGATTTCGCCTCCGCCCTGAGGAAAAACGCTAGCACTGCTTCCTGCTTCGCCGCCCCCTACTTGCCCGTGCAGCGCGGAGGATCCGCTGTTGTTGCCGAGACTGGTTGCACCAACAACGCCTCTTGCTACTCCATGCGAAGCGGCCACGTTCCCGGTACCATCAGCTCCTTGCCCCCTGAAAGCGGCGGGCGCGCCTCCTCCGCCGTGTTTGCCTTGGTAATCGGCAACGACTCCAGCTACAACACCTCCGTTGTGCACAGCGGACACCTCACTGCTGCCATGACGAGCCCGTGAGGCACCGAGGCCACCTTGTTGTGCCGTCCTGAGCCCTGCGGTCATTTCAGTGCTTCCTCCGCTGCTTCCCGGGAAAAACTGGAAGGTCATGGCACTTTTTGTATCGCCAGTTGCCCCCCTTGGTGCCGCTTCCAACACCCTAGCTCTGCCCGCCGTTTCTACCCCCCCCACCGCAACCGTCGTCATCGCCACCCCCCGTGCCGCGGCTACGGCCGCCGCCGCCGCCGCAGCAGCAACAGCAGTAGCGGAAGAAGCTCCGGAGGCAGCAGTGGAAGCAAACGTGGTGAGAACGGCAGGTGTAGCGGCCACCGCGCGCACATCCAGAGGTCCGGTTGCCGGTGCAACCGCCGGTGGATCTCCTGACAACGAGAAACCGGGCAATTCTATGCTATCCGGATTGCGCTTTACCCTTTTAGGATCGACGGGGCGTTCAGAGGGGTTCGGCTTCATCTCCTGCTTCTCTGTACTTTGCGTGCTGTCTGGCGCGAGAGAAGCTGCCGCGACCACGTCAGCCACCTTGACCATACCTTGCTTCTTGTGCTGGAAGCAGAACTCCGGCTTCTTTGTCCCGGGGTTGCCGTGATCGGGGCGCAGCTGGCAACCCCGCTGCATGCACTTCTTGTTCCCTAGGTGCACCATACCTCGCTTCGCGTGCCGGGAACAGAACTCTCGCCGGTTGCTGCCCTGGACCCCGTACTTGGGATGTTTCTTGCACTCGGCATGGGCACATGTCTTGTGAGCCAAGTCGGTCATCCCCTCGAGCGCGTGCCGGCGGCAGAATTCCCGCTTCCGGCTCCCCGGATTCCCGTAGGTTGGCTGGCTCGTACACGACGGGTCGGCGCAGAGCCTGTGGGTCACGTTCACGGTACCCGAGGGAGCGTGCTGAGAGCAGTACTGCCGCACCTTGGTCCCCCGCTGCCCGTACGTGGGAAGCCTCGAGCAGTCGCCGAAGAGACACAGCTTGTCATTCAAGTTCACCATCCACTCGGGAGAGTGCTGGGAGCAGAACTCCCGCTTCTTGCTGCCGCGGACCCCGTAGCGAGCGATAGACTCGCAGTCCCCTTCCTCCTGGCTGCTGAAGCGGCATAACTTCTGCCCGACGTCCGACATGCCTTCCGCCGCGTGCATCGCACAGTACTGCCGCTTCCCCGAGCCCTTCACCCCGTGCGATGCTCGCGTGGGGCAGTTCTCGACGGCGCACTTCTTGCGGTGCACGTCCACCATCCCGGACAACGCATGCTCCCGGCAATACTCCCGGTTGCTGGTCCCCTCTACCCCGTAGGTAGGGTACTTCCCGCAGTTCGAACCCGAGCACTGCGTCCAGTTGACCAAGTTCACCATCCCCGGCTGCGAGTGCTGGATACAGACGACCCCAGCGGTGCTGCCGGGGGGGGCCCTACTGGCGACAGACTCGCAGCCCTCCACGACACAGCGGGGGCCTTTCATCGCGCTCCTCGGGGGCCACCTGACATACGGGAAACTGCAACCAAAAAACACAGTTGGAAAAAGGAGTGCGGTTGGATCAGCTGGCATATAGGCGAGTGCTGCTGTACCATGTACGTCCCAGTCAACACTCAAGCGTGGTACATATTGCGAACTACAGTATGTACAGTAGAATATATATTTTTGTTCTGTCGTAAATCTGCGAATCCCAACCGAGCTTTCAAAGGTTGCTCGGGCAGAGGGGCGTCGCATACCCCCGAGAATGGAGCAGCAACAGGGTGCAACATGACGCCTTGTGTCGACTACTCGACCGGGAGTAGGTTTAATGTTGACACGCAGACTGCTGTGCAGGTCAGTTCCGACAGAGACGTACAAATGTAATCACATCGATAACAACGTGGATGTGCAGCACGCAAGTCCCTGGAAACAAAATGAAGTTGCTGCAAGTCTGGCCGGCACGTGCGTGGCCCAACCAGCATTTGAATGTTTGGCAAGCTATTTTATCACACTAGGGTGTACAGAGAGACGGTCTACCCTGTCCTTAAGGGGGGGCAGACGTGGGGTTGTGACGCTGGCTCTTTTCAACATACTTTCACCCTACTATACAAAGAAAGAAAACAACCGTCCCGCCAGGGTTAGGTTAGGCATTTTATTATCATCTGTAGAGGACACCATGAAGAGGCGTCATGCGTGCTGGCACGTTCAGGTTTGCTACTGGAGCTGAAATAGCGAAGGTCGCAGCAGCCTCTGTAAACTGTCCGAAATCTGCGCCGGAACCAAACGGCTTCCACCATTTGTCACAGCCGTGCTCACCGCCACGGACCGTAAACCCCTGAACTGCGGACAGCAGTAGCTAGTGGCATCAGCTACTGCTGTAACCCCGCAGTTCACGAGATTGGGGGTCAGTGGCAGCGAGCACGGCTGTGACAAATGTGGGATGCCTTTTGGTTCCGGCGCAGATTTCGGACTGTTTTCAGAGGCTGCTGCAACCTTCGATATTTCAGCTCCAGTACACAGTAGAAAACCTGAACGTGCCAGCAAGCACGACGCCTCGTCTTGATGCCCTCTACTGATGTCAATCAAATGCGACACCTAAAACTCAACATTGACCTTGTTTGAGCGCCTCCGTTTTGGCTCTTGTGGCTAAAATCTAGAATAATGTGAAATTTTATCTTGATTTCAAACGGGGCGTTTGGAGGTAGAGGCGTGAAATGTACGGTTTGAGGAACCTCTACTGCCGCCCTGTGCGAGAATTAACGATTTCTGTTTTACGCGGTACCTTCCTCCTGGTCTGGTGTGTCTGTTGTGCAATTTCTGGTGCTCTTGCATTTATTTTCAAAACTAGTAATCAATATTCGTCTTTTGCCCCCCCCTTCAATCCCCCCTGTAAGAGAAACGTTAGATGTACAGCAGTCAACCGCCGCGCACGATGCACGATAGAACAGACGGCTCCGCCGGGGAGTAAGTTTTCAACCCCTTGTACGTAAGAGACTAAAACGATCGACACGGTCTCGACAATTGGTTACTTCAAAGGGCAAATGAGCGACCAGAAGCAAGCCGCCGACGATGACTGAGTGTAGACGCGTAGACGATAGACAACAACACAGGAGGCCTCTCCAGTTGTAGTTTGTAAACCGGCGGCGGGAACATGCTAAAAAAGGCGCTGTTAAGCCGTCGTATGTACGTGGCGTGTCAAACTTCCAACGCTGCATCTCACCTCGCCCAACTTGATCCTCTTGTGATGGTGCTCGGGCGTGGCGGAGCGTGGGAGGGTGGATATGCTGCTGAGATGGACAGAGATAGCAAACTGGAAAGCTGCAGTACTAGAGTGGAGAGACAATTATCGGGGAAGGAGCATTGGGGCATTTTGGGGCATGCCCCAATTTTGGGGCAAGAAAAAAAAAAACACTTTGATCTCGCCGCACCAAATCGATGAATTTCAGCGAAATCTCGCCGTAAGTATCGGAGGGACAGGAAATAACCAACGGCAGCTGTGTGATGTTTTCCACTATGTGTAGCTGTGGGTGTTAGGTATGTGTGCGTGCGATTGAAGCTGCTGCTGCTGTGTGGATCATATTCGAGTGGCCGAGCTGGTATAGTCTGCAGCCGCAGCAGTTGGTGATTTGAGAATGCACAAGAGCGGAGTTGTTGTATATAGTCTAGATGTAGACTATACGAGAGCGGAGTTGTGTTGTGAGGTATAGTCTAGTCTAGTCTATTGTACAGTGCTGGCCCGCACTCAAGAATATGGCACTTAAGAATTTGATGCTCAAAAAATCCAAAACTGNCCGAGCTGGTATAGTCTGCAGCCGCAGCAGTTGGTGATTTGAGAATGCACAAGAGCGGAGTTGTTGTATATAGTCTAGATGTAGACTATACGAGAGCGGAGTTGTGTTGTGAGGTATAGTCTAGTCTAGTCTATTGTACAGTGCTGGCCCGCACTCAAGAATATGGCACTTAAGAATTTGATGCTCAAAAAATCCAAAACTGAAGAATTTACCGATAAGAACACGTGCTCAGCTGCACGCCCTGTTAGGAACAAGGACACACACCTGAGGTGCAAAATTGCTGCTACAAATAAGAACGACAGCAATGCAGCGACCGCCAGATAAGAATACTCGCAGGGGGAGGGAGGGAAGAGGGGGGAGTGATCCCAGAGTACAGAGTGTTGGATTTGGGAGGGGTACATATCCCACATACCAACATTTGTATTTTTTTAGAGGGGGAGGGTGGGCATTGTATGCACGCGTCGTGCCCCTGGGTGCCCCCGAGAAAAGCGTGATGCGCGGGCGGGGTGAGCTCCCCAAGGCGAGGTCCATTCTTATCATATGGACAACTTGCACGCGCAGACCACGGACGAGTTCAAGGAGTATCTTGCGAAGCACTGCAACACTCTCGCCTGGTATGGCCCTCCGGAGTGCACGGACGAGGTGCAGCCAGTTGATGCAGGAGCCGGACGATGTCTCAAGGTGGAAGTCGGGAGGCAGATGGACATATGGCTCGAGCAGTCGGACAACCTCGAGAGGTGGGAAAACGCGTCGCTGTTAGCTTCTGATCGGCGCGTCCTGATCGCTCAGTGGACGGGAGCGGCCATGGCAAGACTCGACAGCCAACAGGCGTACCGATACCGTCTTTTCGATACGTGCGGGATGGCCATGACCGACCGTGGACGGCTCGGGCGATGATCGAATCACCTTGGAGGGTTTGGACAAGCCGNCGAGGTCCATTCTTATCATATGGACAACTTGCACGCGCAGACCACGGACGAGTTCAAGGAGTATCTTGCGAAGCACTGCAACACTCTCGCCTGGTATGGCCCTCCGGAGTGCACGGACGAGGTGCAGCCAGTTGATGCAGGAGCCGGACGATGTCTCAAGGTGGAAGTCGGGAGGCAGATGGACATATGGCTCGAGCAGTCGGACAACCTCGAGAGGTGGGAAAACGCGTCGCTGTTAGCTTCTGATCGGCGCGTCCTGATCGCTCAGTGGACGGGAGCGGCCATGGCAAGACTCGACAGCCAACAGGCGTACCGATACCGTCTTTTCGATACGTGCGGGATGGCCATGACCGACCGTGGACGGCTCGGGCGATGATCGAATCACCTTGGAGGGTTTGGACAAGCCGTATACCTTCGCTAACGATGAAGACAGTAGCGACGACGAACACAAGGTTCGGAGAACGGCAACGATGAGCTTGAGGGGCGGGCGGAGGAGGGCGATGGAGGACGTGAGACGCTCATGGAGGGCGTTGACTCCAGCGATGAAGACGACGGCGGTAAGTTTGTTTTGCACAAAGCCAACTCTTTATCTTCTTGTTGATGACGGTATCCTTCATGTTGTTGACGTTAGCTTGTTTCCGCGCACGGCTACACTCAAAATTATGATAAGTTCAGGTTGAGTTTGGCGACGTGACACCCTAACTTCTTGTGTTCCCCGTTGCCTCGTTCGCAGACATCTCTCAACCCCAGACCGACGAGCTAGCTCTTCTGGACGACGACGACAGCACGGACCCACAAGACCCGGAGGATGAGATACAGGGAATGGAGATCCCGGCAGGCTTTCGTATTCAAGAAGCTACACCCGACCCGTTGCTCTTGACAGATTGCTTCTGCGGCGTGGAGTGCTCGTTAAGCTGGGCATGGGGTGGTTTGGAGGGCTGATCACTCAACAATCTCAGAAGGACACTCGCCACCTGTACGACTACTGTGTGCAGCTGGAGCTAGACCAGAGTATACGCAAGATGAACTTGCCCTTCAAGTACAGCGAAGATTCGGATGCGGCTGTAGGCTCCTGGTTCATTATTTTTATTTTCTTAACATCACACAACAAATCCGTCTCTATCTATAGAAGTAAGTCTAAGATAGATTAGCAATGAATCCATAGCGTGAGCGAAAGCTACCTGCATGTCTACGGTTTCCCAGACAGCATACAGCGATATCTCCCCTGTGGGTTACAGGCTTAACAAGGCAGTTTGGTAGCCATCTTGTGTATCTATCTGCATGTTATGTTGGAAAGTTGTAGACGGAAGATTTACGGGAACTCGGTTTGTCGGGTGTTCTAATATGGCACCCTTATGTGGTTGCGGAGCAAGCGCGTCTCGGGGTGTGTATATTTTCGTCATCAGCTTATATTTTGTGTGTGATGAATGGGAGCATGTGCGGGACGGTTTTGTGTGATTGCACGTCATTAAATGTGCGAAGGGCACGGGAGAACATTATCGCATCATTGCCTCCTAACGTGGTCGCCGATAGACTCGAGAGGCGTATGGTTGAGGTTTCATCACCGACATGTTGGTATGTGTTAAATGCAGTGGGTATGGTCACGTCTCTCGCCCGTGTGTCTGCAGAAAGTATGGCTACCTTTCCCATTTGTAGAGAGCGCGGACCATAAGTAAAGACAGAGTGTATCATTTCATGCATCTACATCAGTTGTATGTTGTTGTTGTTGTTGTTGTTGTTTCTCACATTAGCTCTATTGTCCACAAAAAATGGGGAGCCCGTGGTCTCAAAACCCGGGACATACGACGCCGCGGGGAAACAAAACAAAAATAGGGTACAAACCACTCGGAACAAGAAAACAAAACGATAGAAAGAAAAGAACAGGTATCGCACCGACCGTTCGAGAAAAGAGCCCTCGGAAACCGATCAAAATAAAACAAAAACGAAAATAAAGGAGGACGCTTTCCACATCCGCCCAAAGAAAAAATCAAAGGGTAACGTGCCAGCACCAGGCCCTACGCACCAGGGCATGGGAGTAACGGAGCAAACAGGACAAAGAGGCGGCAAATGGGCAGACAGCCAGACGTACAAAAACAAAGGCAACAGCAAAGCGAGATCACGGTACCCAACACAGCAGAGTAGGCAGGGAGGTAATAAAAAAAGAAACACAGGAACACAGCACAGAGGCCGAAGGCAATACAAAGGACATACATAAAGGAGTATAGCATACAGCAGGGAGGGGAACAGGGCGCAACAACATCAGCCGGGTACATAGTTCGCCACAAGTGCTGCCTCGGCCGCCCTACTCGCTTCTACAGCAGTGCCCGGTCGCCGTTTCTTCCCCCCCACCGCCGCTTCCCCGGCTCTCTTTCTCTTCGGTCCTGAGGCCGTACTCTCTGCTTCTTTCTGCTTCCCTCGCGCGCTGGCGCTTCGCGAACGCTTCCGCTTCCTGCCTGTGCCAGTTCCTCATGAACCATGCCGCCCCGTCCTCGACCTTGTTGTACCACACCTCCGGATCCTTGGCGCTCTCTTTCCATTGACCCCCTTCCTCTTCGTCTTCCATGTTGAAGGCCACGAGGTCCTCTCCTACACGAGACACCCAGTCGCTCTCTATCCGCCCCGGTATCCCACGCTCCCCGCCATCGCTCCTAACAGCATGCGCTTGG